GAGTGTGGCGATCAGAAGTAGTGCTTATAGAGAGTGGTTTGGTCAGAGGATGATTCCGTGGGTACATTATGTCCCGGCTTCGGTTGGGCTCGAGGAGTTGTGGGGGATTTTGGGATACTTTTTGGGGACAGCGGATGGTGGTGTGAGTTTTTTATCCCACACGACTGAGACGCGGAATGTAGATACTAACGGAATAGGTTCCTCATGATACTGAAGCGAGGAAGATTGCTCAACAGGGGGCGAAGTGGGTGGAAGAGCATATGCGGAAGTAAGTTTACACCATAACCACTTTCGGTATTGGTGTGATACATTTACTGATTTGAAACACAAAACAGGAAGGACATGACGGTGTATTGCTTCCGATTGGTACTGGAGTTGAATAGACTTTTCAACGGGGAGAAATGGGTTTACAAATCGTGAGGGATATAATCTACATTTGGCGTTTTTGGAATTTGGATTATACCTCCCCCGATTACAGGAGGAAGGTACAACATTGCAAGCAACAGCCATCTTTTTTGTGGTGCTGGGAAGCGGAGAGAGCACTGCCGAAAGTGAGGTTACCGGTATACATTACTTTTATTTTCCCCCTATACCGAGCATTGCATGTATGTAGGAGTTTTCTGGCACTGCATACTAATTTTATCTGAAATTTTTTATTTAAACCATGAAGTTTGCAGAGAAAATCACGAACTATTAAAGGTGAAGGCTTAACAGCTAAAATTCCTTGTTGAGTGACATTTGTGATCCGGGAATTTCTGTGCGGTCTTGGCAAACGCGTTGTCCCCTGTTTCCATTAACGCGATCAACTTATCACCCTCAACGCGTCAACAAAACCACAATACCACAATACCACAATGTTTCGTCAGGAACTACAGAAAAAACCCCGCATCAACGATAAGAAGCGCCATTTCGGAGGCGGTATAAATTTCGAATCACTTTCTTATCTGCACCGTCTAAACTTCTACACTACGCCTCCCACCTCCGAAGTCACACTCGACCAGTTTGAGCAATGGGCCATCCATCGTCTGCAGGGTACCATTTACTTCTCCCACGTTTGCCGGTTGTCATACTCATCATCATATTCTGTATAGTTCTGGGAGAAATCGAGTCCTGTCTCTACCGTAACAAATCTCCCGACGAACTCAAAGTCGCCCTCGCCGAGGAGCTACGGAGGCGATCACTCCACCTCGAATCAAACTCCACGAACTCTACGCAATTACACGAACAACGACAAAAAGACCACTACTCACATTTCATCTTACGACTCGCATTTGCTCGCTCGGAAGATCTGCGAAGGAGGTTCTCAAAGGCGGAAACGGTCCTGTTTAAATATCGGTTCGAAAGCGACGATGGAAGTGAGCGCACAAAGTTTATTACCAGTCTAGATCTGAACTGGGAACTTGTTTCTGCTGAGGAGAGGAATGTGCTTGCGAAGCAACTGTTGGCTGCTACACCGGCAATGAAGCAGCTGGATGAGAGTTACTATAAAGTGGATTGGGAACGGGTTCCGGATTTGGTGGGACGTCGCGAGGTGCTGCTGAGAGATGGAAAGGCGTATGTCCCGTCTTCACAAATATCCTCAATTGTGGTTGCGGAGTTTACTTCACGCCTCGATAATGCGTTGGAACTTACCGCACGCGCTCTACCACGGCTTGACGAAGACGACCGGCTTATACCTATCCTGAACCACCTGTCACTTGGATTCACGGCGCCAGAATACACCCCATCCTCAGACCCGTCCATACTCTCCGGGGAACCCATCACCGCCGCCGCAATCGACGGACTCAGCCAACATTTCCCCGCGTGCATGCTACACCTCCACCGTACTCTGCGGCAGGACAGGCATCTCAAACATTTCGGACGACTACAATACACGCTCTTCCTCAAAGGCGTTGGTCTCTCAGTCGAAGAAGCAATAACCTTCTGGCGCACCGCATTCTCAAATACTCCCGAAGACCAATTCAACAAGGAGTACCGTTACAACGTGCGACACGCTTATGGGCTTGAAGGTGGCAGGAAAGGTTACCGCGCCAAATCTTGCCAGCAGATCTTACTCGAACACCCACCAGGAACCGGCGAGGCCCACGGATGTCCTTACCGCCACTTCTCACTGGATAATTTAAATGCGCTCCTGGCAAGGCAGATGGATATTACAGACCCTGCTGTGCTCAGGGGTGTGAAGCAAGACGTCGAGGCAACGAAATATCATATGGCGTGTAATAGAGTATTTGAGTATGCGCATAAGGAGGAATTGAAGAGGGAAAAGGAGAAGGAACGCTCGGGTCCTGCGCCTGTGTTTGTGACTATGACCCATCCGAATGAATATTTTGTGAGGAGTTGGGAATTGAAAAACCCGGACGCTATTGGAGTTGCGGCGGTGGGAGGCGGAGCGGGGACTAGGAGGGCGGGGGAAAGGGTAGAGGTGGATATGATTAGTGCTGGTGATGGGGATATGATGATGTAGAGTGTTTGTGATGGAGTGAAGTGGTTGATATCATGGTTGATGCTTGTTTTTTGTAGGATGGCGGGGTTTGGTGTTGCCAAAGCGCTATTCCTCATCTGTAAATAACGAGTGGGACACAGTGAATGATACAACATGTGAAGTGGTGTAAGCGTGGTGAGGCTCTTAGGATTTACCTTTCGTCACACAGCTCCTCAACGTCAGTCGTTCCCCGATAAAGAGACCTACACCACGCTGCTGAAACGAGCACAAGCCACCTCTATTCTTACTCCCATCATGGCTTACCGGAGTCCTTACGGAGACAGCATCATCCACAATCACAACCCCGGCCACGGTCATTTGCCACTCTTTCTGAATGATGATTACGCTTTCGTAGGAAGTTTGGAGGACGATCCCGAAACACCTTCTTCCTTCCCTTCGGAGTCCGATCCCACCACCTCAAACTCTCCTTCCCCCTCCACAACCGCCTCCACCTCCACTGTCTCATCGTCTCCTTCCGATTCGTCGCCTGAATCTTCCGAACAAGCTTCGCCCCACCAGCCTTCATCGCCTCCAGATCATTTCCGCAACTTCTACGCCGCAAACCTCCCTCCAAGTCCGCTACACCACTACTACACGGCCGTCTATCCTCCTCCTCCGCAGCCACCATTACTACCCCCACCACAACTATTCTCGCGACCGATGGTTGAAACTCGCGCTTCGTCTCGACCCCCAGCCGCGTCCTCCAGTCGTAACAGCAACGGCAGCACTCGCATAGCTCGTGCATACCCACCACCAAGAAATGACTCTTCTTCCACTTCCGCAGCACCCACACGGAGAAACCCGCTTCCGGCACGCCAGCACAAGCTCACGCCTATAGTCGATCTTACATCCTTATCGCCTGAAAACTCACGCACCGCGACCTCATCCGATCATCCTGCCCGCAAAGACGAAGAACATCTGGCGACTTACCAACAATCTTGCTCGATGATGACGACGACGAAACCGCAGACGAATCAGATGGCCCTGCACGGGTTGAAAGTTCGCCGGTTCCGGAAAAGAAGGTACAGATGGAAGAGAAGCCGAAAAAGTTGGCGGGTATGGCTTGTATCATATGTATGGAGGATGAACCTGTGGATTTGAGTGTCACCCCTTGCGGTAAGTGTTTTTGCACCCGGGTGTGGTTGCTCGGTGATGCTGACATTGAGAATGATAAAAAGGACATATGTTCTGTAATAAGTGCTTGTATGGAGCTATAAAGGCGACATTGTCGGCACCCCATAAGGTGCATGGAAAGTGTCCGGTTTGTAGAGGTAAGGTGGCGATTAAGGATATCATTGTTCTGGAGATCAGGCAGAGGTCTAAGGGTAAAGAACGAGCTCATTGATTGTTAAATTTGGTTTTTTTTTTCCCTACAAACTCGTCGATAACCTGCACGAAACGTTATTCCACTGTGTCTTTTCTCTCTACCTTGTGCATTTTCATAGGTTGTTTCTTGGTGTTAGGGGATATGAGTAATCGGACCCAAAGGAGCATGGTATAATAACTGTATGGCGTTCTTTGTGTGATTGTTTCTATTGCTTTCTTTTTGTTTTTGATCCTCCTCTCCCTCCCTCTTTCATTCTTCGAATACGTGTATTATATATCCGCTTGATGAAGCAAAGCGCACATGACTTGAGTAACCTTCCTCGAGCTCGTACACCAGCCGCTTTTGTTTCTCCGCGCGAGCTTGCGAGCAAGGAGAGAAAAGTCTGGGCACGAGAGCAAACCTTCCCCACATTAAGGCTGCTGCACATCACTCCCACGTTTTTAGCCGCCAAGCTCCACACCTCAACCTCACTACAAACAAAACAATGTCACAACTTTCCATGCCCCCTGCACCACCGGGCTTCTACAACCCCCCAGGAACAAACATCTTCATCCCAGACCCCTCCTACACCGCCGTCTTCACCCCTCCTCACTACTCCCGCAATCCACAAACTTGCCTCATAACCGTCGGCGCCACCGCCCCCTTCCGCACCCTCGTCTTTGCCGCCCTCTCTCCCTCCTTCCTCACCTCCCTCTCAACCCACAACTTCCGCCGTCTAATAATCCAAGCCGGCACTACCTTCTCAGACCCGGAATTCCAATCCCTTCTTTCTTCTGTTACCACCTCCCGGCCGGGGTTGGAGATTGAGGCATTTGACTTCCACCCTGATCTTGCGGCCACATATATTGCAAAGGCGGAGGTGGTCATCTCGCATGCTGGTGCTGGGAGTATTCTGGATGCGTTAAGGTGGGGGAGGAAGTTGGTGGTGGTGGAGAATAGGGAGTTGATGGGAGGACATCAGAGGGAGGTTATTGATGAGTTAAAGGAGGGGGGTATTTAACGGAGGGGTTGGTGGAGGATTTGGGGAAGGCAGTGGGGCAGGTTATGAGTGTGGAGATGCAAGGGAAGAAGAAGGAGGGGGGGGTGGGGGTAGTGGGAGTGCTGGAGGAGGAGATGGGGTTGTGGAAGGAGGGTTGAATGGGTAGGTGAGGAAGGGGGAGACAAACAGGGAAAATGGGGAAAAAGATGGGAGATTCAGTAGTGTAGGGGTATCATGGGCGCTTGCCAAAGGTTATCTGCGCCCGACCCGGGTTCAAATCCCGGCTGAATCAGAGCTTTTGTGGTGGAGGTCTTTTTGTTGCATTGTGTGTGGGTGGAGGATTGTTTTCGGTACGGTTCATATGGATGCTGTCTCTGCCTCTGGATGCGAGGCCGCTCAAAAAGAAAGGACATCTCGGCGATACTGTACTCTACAGATACCTGGTTCTAAGGGCTACCTTAATTTGGTTACAAATATGCCTTTTTTCTTTTGGTGGGATGACACCAAGAGCTATTTAACGCATGAGCATGCATTGGTCGGGAAACACTGGAGGGTTTTCCATACACCTTCACGATGGAACTTGATCTCTGGGATGCCGTACGTGATGTGGTTTGACAAGCCTCCTTAATAAAACGACCTGCACAGGGCAGCAACCTTGCCTCCAATGTTCCAGTGCCTACGGCCCCCCAAAGTTGAAAATGCGCGCATAATGATTTAATCTCCGAGTTGGAGTTATAGTTTACCTACTTCCTAGTCCACATTGGCCGTTTGCTAGAATTCGAAATGCCAATCTAGGTGGTGGTGATGATATCGCGTTGATTTTCTGTGGGAAAAAAGGCCCTTTATACTGCTCCAGATCCGCACACCTTCTCCACATCGATTTCAGTGTGTGAGGCACTGAATTTGACTTCCAGATGTCTATCCCCTGACTTGTCATACGCTGTGGCGATGGTCGAGCCACTCTGATTTGTTGATAATCGCGAGTGTCAAGTCCTTGGCAATTTGCACAGGGCCGCTCTAGAGCACTCGACTCACGCGATCTCACAACACCGTCTCTTTTGTCCGATGTTACTTGAATATGATTTCACGAATATCTGGTTACTAGGAAATGTATGGTTAGAGAAAGAGGCACGAATTCGAGAATTGGAATCTCAAACGACTTGTTATATTTAGGGTTTGTGGAGTATTGGATAGGGTTTAGGGCTGCGACCTATCACCTTCTCCCCCTAAAATTTCCAGGCAATTTTTTTTTACAAGCGGGCAAACAGCATGATACTACCCGTGTAAAGAATAAAGTCAGAACAAGTAACCAACCAGTCAGTAGCAATAAAAAACTCCACATTGACAGCTACGGCATAGGTTCAACAGGACTTAGTGTTTTTTTTTCGTTTTAAATCATTTTTGCATTAGGGGTTGAGACCTATTGCAGATAAAGAGAAATCATAATACACGCCGTCCTCCTGGCTCAGACAGCTCGTGAGGCCATCCTATCTCCACAGGTCTTATGATGACGGACCTTTTGAGTAACCTCAGCCGTTAGTTGCGGGACCTAAAATCCAGGTTTCCTTCTCTAGCTCCCAAGAAGCCATTTCTTTTTGCCTCCAGCTTGGAAGCAAACCGTATCCAAACCCCGATAAGTATGGATACTCGTGAAGGTAAACTTTGGCGTCACTTAGAGATTGCGCCCATCTCTTCAATCAGGACTGTTACTGTCTTGACACCGCAGTCGCAGCGATCTCTGGCACTGTCTCAACTTTCACCTTAATGCATATGCAGAACAGTATTTGCTGGCAGCGCGGTCGACTAAGAGGTGTCTGCACGTATGTCTAGAAGCAAGGATTTTCTGTTTGTAAGACTGGCATGGTTTTATTTTTTGAATTTTCACTACGACTTTGGAGTACGCCATCCCCCTGCGAATTTTGTCTCTGCCGGGGATGCAGCATTCGCCCTCAAATTTTGCGATCAGTGTTTTAATGTATTCCCTGATTGACATTACATAGTGTATCCACCAAGAAATCTGGTCTCCAAAGTATGATACTTCAAAAGGGCAGATTGAATCTATTCAGTCGTATGATACGATATGTTTGCAACAACCCTTAGGAAGCTTCGGATAGTTTTCCACTGCCAGGATACCCCAGACAACGAAGAGCCAATAAAATGTTAGCCTATCAATTTTCTTGGTTCGGATGAGCATAGAGTTCACCAGGATGTTGTTAGAGTTCCATGCATTGAACCGCTAAGGACAGAAACCATCCCTTGATTAACACAATCTGGTGTGCTGGCTTATTGAAATTGAGCAGGCTTAGAGCATATTCGTTGAATGCAATCACCGACGCACTGCTGAAAGACTTAGGCTAGGACAACATACGTCTGGTATGCGAAGCTGTCCACAACGCTGCCACACTCCCGAACAGCCATAACCTGATACAAACTTATCTATCCAGAGAAAACCTTCTCAAGCACATGTGCACGGTTCTAGTTCAGTGGAGTACCTAGGGGGACCTTGAAGATGATGCTTCGCCGTTTTCTCTCCAAAATCAAGCAATATTCCCGCCTATTTGCCTTCGGCTTTTTGGCAGGCGGTGCCTTCTTGGGCGGCTAGCAGGTATGTGGTGGATCGGTGGTCAGCGTTGTGGGGCGCATGGCAGCCGCACAGAATGAAATATAAACCTCGGTGGGACTACCCGAAAACAAGGGCTTTCTGGGAAAAACACCGATGTTAGAGGAGAAACACCATATCAAGGTGCAGTGAAACTACCTACTTCAAAAAACATCATGAAACATCGGTGTCATGATTCTGTCACTGTGTTTCACCAGAAATATCAATTTTTACTACTACTGAAGTATTTCATGCACCCTGCAGTTGTGCAGGGTTCCAAATGGCATTGATTTCACACCCCACAATCCACTTCCCATGTTCTGTTTGTAGTCTACCAACTAAAAAATCAACCTAATTTGCTGGTATCACCCTCTCTTTCAAATTGTACTTCTCAGTACCCTCGTCATCAATATTTGTATCAGTTTTCCAGCTCCACACAAATGTCACATAATGTTCATACTCTTTTGTATTGTCCACTCTTTCTGGTCTCGAAACACTGGGAACCTCAATCAGTGCAAAAAATTGAACTGAGTTGATGAGATTTTCTCATGTCGTTCTATCATCGGACGGCGGATCCAGATTCTGTAGCACCTCGCGAGTAGCGGGAAACTTAACAATCATGGAGTCGAACGTCAATGCTTTGGTACGAGTGGGAGCTGGCTTGATGTCGATGGAGCGTTAAATTCGATACGATAGGATCAAATGAAGTCATCGACCCACCGTCATCTTTGCCGGTGGTAATGGATCCTACCCAAATCTAATTCAACATCAAGCTTCTGAAGATCGCCGCTGCTGGTTCGATATACACCATCGCATTGAACAGCATTATACTCTGCTCTCTTCTCCGGATCCGCATAGTGTTTTTGAAACTCCTTTAGGTACTGTCCGTCGAAGGCGGGACGTTTGCCGTTGCGACCGTTTGCAGTAGTTGGTTTCATGATATCGGGATTAGTGAGTGTTTAAATTCTTTCATCGCAATATTCCAGGCTGTGACCTTGTGCGCTCTACGTTTGAGTCTCGAAGCGACTGGTCCCATCATCACTTTAGCCTCCTCTAGGATCTCTTCAATTGACCAAGTCGTGCTCGGTGAAAGCTCGCCAGCTCGTGTCACTGTCTCTTCACAGAATTTCGGATGATAGCATCAACTGTTTCGATTCGATCATGGTTTAAGCCGCTTGTGAGAATGCTGTCAAAGTGGGTTCCACGGGCTGTATAGGTACCCACTACCACTCGGGGGCCCAGGGTATATCAGCGTTTGGTAGGAGACTAAGAGAGATGGGTTCAAGAAAGGTGTGAATAAGGTGGTGGGTTGCGGTATCCTTGCCACGCGTGGAGAACCCTGGTCGTTTGTTTTCTTCTTCATTCACGGAACACAAACGTCGTCGGGATTTGTAGTGCAAGTATGTGTGGGTTGAAGTTATTCGGTATGCCCTGGTGGATTGTTCAGTATGCCCTAGGGGCTTTATCGTATCATGGAGAGTAGTAGATGAAAAGATGTTTGAGTGGGAGACATATATGGCGGAGGTTGGGCTAGGGGCATGCCCTAAGTTAACTGTCAAACCGGTTTGATAGCCAAGAATAATGCCGACTTTTCTAGGAACAACGTTAGCCGGTCACTCACCCATGTACCTACTGTACCCCCAGATTCGTAAAATTTCAACATAATCCAGCCAATGTCCAAGTCTTAGGATACGATATACCGTAGCTATGGTTACTTTAGGGGAGGAAATGTGAGCGTGAATATTATAGTGTGTACTGATAAAGAGACAGAGAACCTCGAGAATATCTACACTGTGTGTATGTGTGTGGGAGCAGCAAGCAGTTATAAGTGCAAGTGTGCCTTGTACACCCTTGTTTTCACCCCATTTCTCCTTGAAATGGGTACATTTTTTCAGCCAATCTTACCACAGCAAAAATCAGATAATACCAGCCAGAAACACCAATAAATTCTCACAGAACTACTGAACTTTATCCCAGTGTACCAGCCATATTACATCGGTGTATATTATGCATGTATACACAGCGAAACCCCTGGTGAATGAGTGTTGGTATGTTGGGTGTTTTCAAATTCCTCCACCTATTGTCACCCATGATCCACCACCACCTTGTTCCCTCCAGTTACAATGACAAGCAAAAATAAACAAATGAGTGTGCAATACACATGAAAAAAAACCGAAACGAACGTAAAGCAACAAGGTTTTTATGTAATATTTCCAAATACCCTTCCCATCACTTCGCACCTTCTTAATACACCATTTTTTCCCGCTTAGGGTAAGTGAGTTTTCTCGTACCAGTCCTATCTCCCATGACTCCCCGCACAACCTGTCGTGCTTTGTTACAGTCTGCCGTTGGCAAAATAGTTGAGCGTCCTATATTATAGCAATTCCTCGCCGCCTATCTGTCTGTCTGAGGACTTCTCGACCCCTAATTCTGGAACAAGTGCGAGTTAAGTGACTAGTAGGCAAGCTGCGATATAGTTCCCCTCGCTTTTGTTGTGACCCATTCGTGGTAGCCGCCCATCCATGGACAGGGCGGTTCCATGAATGGGACAACCGAAATTATGCAAATTAAATAGCTTGGCCTATAAAAAAAATAAAGAAGATAATTACTACTCCTTCGCTTTGCTTCTACACAACTCTTTTATAAGTCAGTTGTCTTTGCTTTGATTCACTTCTATAAGCTTTTAGAAGTCA